TGAGCAAGGGGCCTGCTTTGCTCCCACATGGGAGAAGACAGCTGTTTGGGGCTTCCTGATCCTGAGAAGGTGTGGGTGAGGGAGAGGGTGAGGCCTTGTGGTCTGGAGCCTCTTTCCCAGGGACCTCTGCTTGGGGAAGCACAGCTGTGTGTTAGCGTACGCTCCTGGTGGCTCCACAGGTTCCAAGGCAGGCCCTCCCTGGCCTGCAATGGAAGATACTCACTTCCTTCTTACTGGCTTCCCTGGGGCTGCTGGAGGCTGGTGGCTTAACTAAAGAAATCCCTCAGCAGGCTCAAGCCGCCAGGCTGGGAAAAGTCAGAATCTGAACCCAGGCTTCCTGACAGCTCCCACTCCCAAACAGAGAAACTCAATAAATTTCCTTCTCCATCTGTAGAAGAACACAAATGCAGGCTCAATGCACACCCCAGGCCCAGAGCTCAGAAAGGAAGTCCCTCCCCACACCTGTCCAGTCGGATGAGAGTGCTGCTGGCCGTGGGTGACCATTTCAATTCCAACAAATTACATCAAAATAAAGCCTCAGCGCAGTGTGGTGTCTTATCTGCCCATGACGACACTATGCACATCTCCTGAGTTTTATTGGAAGGAACACCGTTTATATTTTAGACATTCAGGGGGAGATACCGAGGACCAGGATACCAGGACTGGATCCTAGAACAGCAAAAGGGTATGAGTGGAAAACCTGGAGAAATCTGAATAAAATACAGTTAATAATAGTGTACGGTGCCAATTTCTTAGTTTTGACAAATGTACCACAGTTATGTAAGACGTGAACAATACAGGACCCCGAGTAAAGGGTTTATAAGAACTCTGTCTTTATAATTTGTTTGGAGACCTAAAATTATTCTAAAATTTAAAAGATGTTAAGTTAAAAACTCTATCCCTCAGGCACCCAAGGTACATTTCACGTGTCCATTGGCCACCTGTGGCCGGCGGGCTGCTGTACTGGGCAGAGTAGGTATAGAACATTCCCGGTGCTGCAGAACTGCTCTGTTCTGCTGTTCATTCTCCCCAGCGACTCAGCCACACAACTCCCAGAACCTTATTTTTCACTCATATTTTCTTTCCCTCTCACTGTTATCATTTCTCTCTCTAAATCATTACTTCCACACTGCATACTAAACCAGCCCAAAGCCAATCTTTAATATTTGCAGCCATTACTGAATAGAACATTAGGTATTGTTTGAGTTTAAATGTTACTTACACGGACCTCACCCAGAACAGCAGGCCTTAAGTGCCTCTAATAAAGCTACCACACGAATACAGCCTCCACAACACAGCCAGGGCTGACCCTGAGCAGCACGTGACATTTGAAGAACAGCATTCGATTGTAGGGGGCACCGGGCATGTCTCTGGGCCTCTCCCCCAATGGGGAGCCTGGCTGGCTGTGCTTCCGGCATCCAACAGGGCTGCGCTAAGAAGGGAGAGCCAGCCTTACCCATCCAGAGGTGGCCCCTCAACCACCCGGAAGCTCACAGAGCTAGGACTCAAAGAACAAGAGAGTCCCATGGCCTTCCTCAACCCTTTGATCCATGAGGGTGGCTGCCAAAGCTCGGCTTGGCTGGATTAATGTGTGGTTCCCACTGACATTCTTCCTGACCTGTTTTTCCATGTTCCTCCCCAGAAGCGACCATACGGAATGTCCGTGGTCAACCAACGAGGTTAAGTTTTCTGCACTGCTCTCACCCCCCACCCCCCTTGCTGGTAATTAACCCCAACCCACCCCCATCACCGCTAACCAAGTGCAGTCTGGGCAGAGCCGAGTGTGTCTGGCTGTTTCACAGAGGCAGCTTCTCTCAAAGTCAAGGCACCTCACCTCCACTGCATTTCTCTCTTACGCCCACCCCAACTGTCATGCTCCGAATGAAATCCCACCACCTCCCTCTGGTCTGGGGAGCCCAGCAGGCTCCATCCCTGCTGATTCCCCTCCTTCCTGGACTACCACTCTCTCTCTTGTCCTCTACCCCCCACACTGGCCTGCTTTGTGTTCTCAAACATGCCCAGCCCACTTCTGGCCCAGGGCCTTTGCACTAACTGTTCCCTGGCCTACAACACTTTCTCCACCCACCCCCACCCCACACGTCTTCTCACTATCACTAAGACTTGACTGTCACTTCATCGCTGATACCATCCCCGATCCCCCCAGTCAGTCTGTCCCCGGCCTTACTTTAATTCCTTGTATTAGAACATGCAGGGAGAATCTGATATTATTTTGCTTGTTGGCTTGTTTGTCCAACTCCCACACTACAAAGCAGGTTCCTGAAGGCAGGGAGCACACTGGTCTGGCTTGTTTGTGGCTATATCCCCAATACTGAGAACAGCATCTGGCACATTCTTTGAATGAAAGGTTTGAAATTCCATCGCTGTTGCTTTCACAGAAGCCTAAGCAGAACAAAAGGGGCTGAGATGTAGGGCCCTGCGTGGCCTCCAGGAGGGGAGCCAGCAACCCCAGGAGCATGAGGATGGGGACGGCCAAGGTCCAAAGCAACCGCATGTTCTCAGCAAGCCTCTTTCCCCACAATGAAACGCAACCTCCTGAAAGCTGCTTGTAAAACAGAGTAAGAGAATGGTTGGGGGATCAAGGGGGGGGACTTAGTGTTTTCCGACAGAGAGAAAAACCCACCTAGCTACTGTTTTACCCTTAAGATATGAGGTTTAGTTCAAAAATGAGAAGATGGGAACAGTATCACGGATCCTGCAATTGCCTTGCTGCTGGGTTCCCCTCCCTTCCAGCCCAGACAGAGGATGGAGAGCTGGCGTGTGTTCAGGCCCCAGGAGAGTGAGCATCATAAACCAGGGAGGGCTGGAAGGACCTCAGTCATGGTCTCTCTCCAAGCCTTCAATCTGTAAATGGACAAAGTGAGGCCTGGCTAAAGAAGTGATGTGCCTGAGGCCCCAGTGAGACAGGTGTCATTTCACAAGCCCAAGATGTCACTGATGGTTACAGGAACCCCTAGTTTAAGCACTACTAAGAGTGAAAAAAAGCTGCTTCCTATTAAACTAGGCTGCACCACTGATTGTGCAAGATATTAAAGATATTTTCCAAGATATTAATTCCTTTTAATATCTTGCTTGGAAGATTTACTATTTACTCCTCACTTCCTAGGGTCATGGGAGTGCCACATTCTCAGTCCCAGTCCCCAGAATGGGCTGGTCCCCTTCCTACCTGTTGTGTAACAATAGGCAGCTCCAGGCACTTGGCTTTGATGTTGCTGAGTTTTTAGAGGAATGCCAGTGTGAATAATGTGAGTGTGGCCCTCCCTCCAGTCTGGCTCTGGGCCGGCCAGACACTAGAAAGGAAACCCAGCTGGCTTTTCTGGCCAGCGTGGTCCACGGGGCAGGACATGACCACAGCACAGGCCTGGGCAGCTCTGGGCGTGTGAACTGCCTCGGCCTGCTCGGCTACGGGGGCCAGGCCATTTCCCTCCCCAGCGGCGGGGGTGGGGGTGGTTGTCAGTGGGGTGCGTTCCTTTTTAATTCTTTTTTTAATTTAAGTGAAAAAAAAACAAATAGAAATAATATATATATATATATATTTAAACCATTTAAAAAGCCTAGACCTTTCAGCAGGAAACACCTGTCTCTCACCTCTCCCATGCCTCATCTGATTCAGAGATCAATTTTCCCACTGTTTCGCTTTCGGGTTCTGCTCTGGCAATCTTCTATCCCTAAATAAATGTACTTTGATGGTGCTTTGATTTCTTACTGTATCAGTGGTAGAGAACAGCTGAAGGCTGCCCACTGTGAAAGGCAGAGGTCTGGTCTACTCTCCCTGTGTCCACCCTGCTGCCCCCATCCAAGGGCTAAGCGTCTTATATTTATTTCCTTATTTACTTCTTGGTGAACTCTTCCTTCAGTCACCTGTGACATGCCGGGTGACCTTCTGACACGTCTGATGACTGTGTGTGTTCCACGAAGGTTGCGGAGGCTCCCCACCTCACCACGTGCTGAGGATGAAGCTGCAGCTCCTACTGCGCCCCCTCCCGCGTGCCCCTCTCCTCTGTCCAGCTGCAGCCCGCTACCACATTCCCAAAGCTAGTAACAGATTCCCAGCTGCAACCACTACCAGGACTTCCGGGCTTTGCCTCCAGACTGATGCCTAAAGTCAAAAATCAACAAATGGGGTTTACAGGCCACATGATTCAACATGGAAGCCAGGCTCTGTTTGGGGACTGAGGATTGCACAAAAGCGAACGAGAGGCAAAGTCCCCACCCTCGCAGAGCTCACAGTCTAGTGTGGGAGAGCGACAGCCAACAGGAAAGAGTGCTCTGAGGGCAGAGAAATGGCACGCTGCTGGGACTCAGGATGAGGGCTGAGGCTCCTAAACCGAGTGATCAGGGAAGGCTGCTTGGAGGAGGAGACGTTTACAATAAGGCCTCAACCACACAAAGTCAGAAGCTTGTGCTCCCTGCTAATGTGCTCTGAGACCTGCCTTCTGGGATCTTGGAACTAGATGGCAACTAAGAGTAACAAATCTTCGACCTTTGCTTGATCACCTTTGCAGATGGATAACTCATACCCTCATAGGGAATCCCACTTCCTTTCCAGGCCATTCCCTGTGAAACCTGCCCTGTAAAAATCTGCCTCCTGTGACTTCTACTCCTTGATGCCTTCCAGAGCCATGTGGAGAAGGCATGCCCCGATTGTGGGGCCCCACATGGGCAGACAGGCACCGCTCTGATGCCTCACCTCACCGCCCATCTCCTTTCTCCTGACAGGAGAGAGGAGAACCGAGGATTCCACAAAAGCTAAGGAGAGGTGAAGTCCCTACCCTCAGGGAGTCTCCAGTGGCTGCCAGCCCTGCCATGGAGATGTTTTCCTGGGGGCCAACAAGCCTGTAGGACCTCTTGCCCTCTAGACCCCTCCCCAGGTTTGGCCTGTAAGATCCCAGCCAGGTTTCAGAATGCAGAGTCTTGGCCTTTCCGATGAAGGTGGGCATGTGGCCCCTCCCAGCTGCCCCAAAGCAGTGAGCGGACAGTACCTGTTGGAGGCAGAGAGCTCCTGTGAGGGTGGGGGCTGGCTGGTATCCCAGGAGAACTGCTGGGGCGCTCCCAGGTGGTCTCTGGTCAAACAAAGAGAAAAACACAATCGCTTTAAGACTTTCATAGGGCAGAACTTCAGATGGTGACAGAGTAGAACTAGAATGGTCAAAGCTGGAACAAATAGAGACTTGGCCTAACCCTGGGAAGCAGGAGCTTGCTTTGTGCTCCCAAGCCCACCTACCTGCCCACCTCCCATGACAACAGAGCTTCATCTTGCTGGGAGACCTTCTCCATGCAGCTGCGACCCAACAGAGGTGGCCTTCCAGCTGGGATCTCTAAAACATGCGCAACTCCCCTCTCTTATCCCCTGCAGCTGCCAACTCACCTCCGCTTCTGTCTTGAGCCCTGGAACCCAGCAACCAATGGGGCATTCCTCCCTGAACACCCACTGTCACCCGAAACCCCAAAGCACATGGAAGGAGTCCTGGCCCCAGGGTCCATACAGAGACCTCTGTCAAATGGGGGTGATTTCCAAAGTCCTTCCTGGTTCTACAGTTGTACACCCTGCTGGCATTGTAACTGCTGCATCTGACCAATCACTTCTTCCTCTGATGCCCAGCTACATGCCCCAGCCAGAAATAAAGCTAACATTGCAGTTATATTACGTCCCCTGAATACCACTTAATCTATTTTACCACTATGAGCATAAACTTCTCATAAAATTATCTAGTGAAAAAAAAAATGCTTTCTCACAATATATAATTTGATAATGTAGAAAAACACAAAGAATTCAAAAGAATCACCCGTAATGTCACAATTCAGAGGACATCACTGTCAACATTCTGTCTATGTGGATTTTCTTTCAATGCCTACAGACATAAGTCTTTAAAACAAAGCTGTATGTTCTTTTCATGTACTGGCTTTTTGGAGTATCTTTCCAAAAACCATAAAAGGGGCTGGACACACAGAGGTTAACATCTGTAACTGAGGCGATTCTAGAGGCAGACCACCTGCGTTTGATCCCAGCTCTGCCTCTTACCACAGACTAACCCTGGCCAAGCTAGTTCTCCTCTCAGTGCCCGGGATTCCTCCTCTGTAAAGTGAGCTCAATAATGATATCCACCAAGGCAGTGCCTGTATATGGGCATTTGGCACAGATTAAGCTTTTAGCATAAGATTATCTTTTATGTTAGTCCAAAATATGGATATATTATTATTTAATTAAGGATTCTGTTCTTGAAAATCCAATAGTCTCAAATATGAGAACAACAAGCACAAACTTTCAATAGCTCCTCCTAAATAGGATTCAGAAGAACTGGGGTTTTCCCCCTTAGTTCTGTATCTAATCTGCTGGGCAAACTGGGCAAGTCACACTACCTCTCTGGTCCTCCAATACATCACCTAAAATGAAGGGGCTGGGCTAACTGGTCTAGGAATTGGGCAATAATATGGTCTCTTCACGTCTGAAGGGAGGGAAAAAAAACAGAGCAGGAGGGCACGTGAGGGAAGCAGCAGGGAAGACGTGACCAGAGGACAGCAGTGAGGTCATTCATTGGGAGTGACCAGAAAAGCAGGCTCGGTGGCTCCTGAGGGAGGAGGCACACGCAGGCTGGCACTGAGTGTGGCCCCGGGGTCCATACAGAGACCTCTGTCAAATGGGGGTGACAGCAAGGCACCCGTCTGTCCGTCCAGACTGACTTCCCACTAACTTCACTCCAGCCTAGTCACCTCCACTTGTTGGTTTCGGAATGCGCCTTTGCTGGAGTTGTTCCCTTGCCCACCAGCTCCTGCCCCACCACCACCTCCAGAGGTCAGAATCTTGTGCATTCACCAGATCTCAATTACAATGCTTCTTCCATCATGCAGACCGCTTTTCTCCCCTGATGTCAAACCCCCACATTCTCTAGAATGCATGCTGTAGTCATCTCCCAGATGCCCCCAGCTACAGAGGCTCATGGCTGAGTCCCTCTTGGAGCACTGCCCTCAGCCAGCAGGAGCTGCCTTGCCCAAGGTAAAGTCTGGGCAAGGGGCATGGGGACATCCAGGGGCTGGTCAGTGCGGCAGGTACCAAGGCCCATCCATCCCCTTGCCTCAAGTCAAATAATTTCAAAGAGCCATTCAGCTCAGAGGCGCCCACGGGCTGGCCAAAGCCCTTCTTGTGACCGCACAGCCAGGCTGCTTCCTGCCCCTGCCTGGGGGCTGCTTCCAGGAGTGCACTCCCTGCAGAACCTCCCGCACACAGATATGTCTCAGTTCTGTCTGAGAACCTGACCTAAGAGCCCCCCGCCTCCCACCCTCAACACACAGTCTTACATTCACACTCCATCTAGCTCCCACCCAGGGAATCAGTCCCACCTCTTAGCGTAGATCTCAACCTTGACATCCACCTTAACTGCTGGAGGGTCAAGTCTGTGGCTGGCTCCCTTTCAAACACAGCACTTAGCTTGCTGGATGCCTGGACAGTTGGGCAAATGGAAGGATGGACACTGTGACGGCACATAGTAGCTTCCCATTTGAGGTGCCCTTCCCCTCTCGGGGGACAAGCAGACAGGCCCCTTCTCCTAAAGGCAGGAAAGGTCCCCAATGAACTACTAACTTTGTCCTGATGCCAAGGACTTATTTCAAAGATGACCCAGTGGCTCTTTCAACCACCTTGGAGCTTGTGGAAGTCTGCTGGGTGCTGGATGGTAAGCAGATCTGGAAGGCCGTTGTGGCTGGCTATGGGGGTGGGGGAGGTCCTGGAACCAGGGGGAACACACAGCTCTTCTTAAAACTGCAGGTAGTTATGCCCCAGATGAAGCTGAATTCTATTTAGGCAAGAGGTTTGCTTATGTGTACAAAGCAAAGAACAACACGGGACTCCTGGCAGCAAATGGAATGAACCATAGGAATGTGGGAGAGGTAACTCGTGCCATGGAAACAGAGGCAAGGTTCGTGCCAGATTCCGAAGCTACCTTCCTACTACAGCCACTGAATCTGAGTGATGTGGTACCCCGTGTGGATTTAAACTTACTGAACAGTAAATAAATGTAGTGTAAATTTGTCCTCTTTAGAGGGAGGGAGGGAGGAAACCCAATGTGAGGACTCTGCCATTTTATCTCATGGGATAGCAGAGGGTCCCTCATGGGATAGCTGACTCACCCATTCATCCAGCCTGGGTGCCACCTGCCTCCTGCATGAGACCACCAAGCATTAGGGAGAGAAGCAGAGATGAACTGAAATGCTCACTATTTAGCCGAGAAGCTACTGCTTCTGGTTCCCCCCCCCCCCCCCAGGGCTTGAGTGTTCCAGTGAAGGGGACCATAAGCAGCAGAGTCCCTGGGAACGTGATGGGAATGTGCCATAAGCAAAGAGCAGTGTGCAGCTGCCCCTGTGGGTCCCACTCGCCTCCTCACTGGGAATCCTAACTACAGGGTGGAGGGGCCACATCCTCCAGCAAGTGGCATCAGGCAGCTCCAGGGTCTGCAGAGCAGGCAGGCTCTGAAATCAATGGACATGCAGGCATTGGTCAGAACCCCACTCTCCACGCTGGGTCCTGATGGAAGGCCATTTCCCCTGCACTCGCTGGCCTGGGTCCCTTCACCCCATAAGAACTGTTCTCTCTCTACCCAAACTCTACCTGGGCTCCACCAGGGCCAATGCAACTGCCCAAAGGATTCAGCCCAGCCCACCTCATCTTCACCAGCTCTGACCAACCCAACACAAAGCCATTGCAAGCCTGGTGCAGGAATGGGTCAGACCAGACTGGACAGACATCTGGAGAGAGCCACCAGGACTTTGGCTGAGTGGCCTCACCAGCAGCAGGAAAAATCACACCAGATGACCACACTACCCACAGGGAAGGTGTCATTTCCAGGTCTTTTCCAATAAAAAGACTCCCTGACCTACTTACAACATACAGGGCTCCTTGACCAAGCCAAAGAAAAACTGAAGTAGCAATTTGGGGCCCAAGTTACCCTGGATTGAGGCTCTTTTGCATTCTCTGGAGTTCCAGAGCTGCTGCCATGCAGGCTCCAAAGGCTGTAGGGGCATGGCACGGTCAGAGGGGAAGAACTGAGATGTGTTCTCAGAGAACCTCTGCTCATCCAACTCACTTCATGAGAAACACATTTTTCCTAATGGCAACTCTAACTTGATTTGGACCTCTGCCACTGAAATCAGAGGTGCCAGACACACACAAATCAATTGATCCTGGATCAGACCAGCCCAAGGGAAGGTTGCTATTCTAGCCATCAATACTACAAGCCAGAAATTCTCATTTCCCCAACAGTGGGTAACAGTGATTACACACTTTTAAAGAGAGAGTACTTAAAAGGTGGAAAGCAATGTACATCTGGGTTTCAAAGCACAGAGGGCTCCTCCTTAAAATAGTAATAATAAAAATAATAAGTGAGGCAGGAGTTACTAACTTTAAACAGTCACTTTTGAACTAATTTCCCCTTGTTAATACTACACAGTGCTTGCATTAGAGGTACTGGCTCCCAGAGGAAAGCCACTGCTATTAGGAGCCCCTAGATCTAGGCCATTTGTTGCGATGATTTGTCTTGGGCAACCTGTAAGCCTGGGTCTGGGAAGTCTCATCCACCTGCTCCCACTTTTCCGCCCTGCCTGGCCCACAAGTGGGCTCCTGCTCAACTGGTCTGTTTCCATGGCTCTGTGGTGGCTCTCTGCTGCCCCCAGTGGCCCTCCATTGAAATAACCACCGGTACTAGCCCAAAGAGAATTGGGCTTTTGGGTCTGGCTGGGCTCTGAGAATTCCTGCAATCCCCTCCTCTTTCCCTCTCTTATATTCTTCCTTCTGTGCTTCTTACTCCATCTCTTTCTCCCACTTCCAGTCTCTTCCTTTCCCTTGTTGGGTGGAGGTCACATCTATGGCTTTTCTTCTCACCAGGAGGGTCTGCTGGGCTGTGCCCTGGTTTTCCTAGACAGCCGGCAGCCCCAGTCACTCCTGCCCTGGAAGCTGGTTTCCCACTGGGCTGCCCTGCTCTCCTTGGCCATGTCCTCCAGCAGGAGAATCCCAGGAACCCCAGTAGCCTGGTCTAGGCACCAGCCAGCCAGTACAGAGCTGCACTTGGGCCAG